GCCACGAACAGGCAACGAGCACAAAAGCCAGAATCCGATACACAATCAAGACTACAATAACGATGACAATGAAACCTTTTCTCCGGGCGATGCTGATCAGCTCAGCAGGGTGATATGGGACGGGTGAGTCAACTGTGTGTATAGACAGCCCTCCCAGTTCCTGCCGGAGGACTGCGGGACTGCAGCAGCCAGAAGCCGACAGGGAATTGATTCAGCGATGACGACGGGGGACGTGTCTTCACACAAAGGGGTGGGGTATCTGGAGCTGCTGCAGGAGCAGCTCTGGGCTCTGTGCTGCCGCTGGGTGAGCTCAGCTGCTCAGGTACCAGACAGCGTGTCCTCCTCTTTGTGCCTGTGACCTCTGACCTGCTGGGGTGGCAGAGCCCGCAGTCCTTGTACTGCAGGGATGGACTGTCTCTGGAGTGTCCTTAAGCTGCCCTCGAGTTACCTAAACCAGTGGTGACACAACAGATCCTCTACTCTGTAACAGACATCTGTCTGCATGTCGCTGGCGAGTTCAGGTAAACACACTGCTGTGCTATTACATGAACGATCAGGAGTTCAGGTCAACGAGACGGTTTCTTCCCACACGCTGTCAGAGGACTGAACTCCACCCCTACCGCTGGCTCACACTGGGTTTTTTTTTAAGTTGAATGTTATTTAACTTGTTGTTGTTGCTGCTGTTCTGTGTTTTTGGTGAGTCCTCTAATGTCTTTGTGTTGGAGCCTACAGTACGCGCAAATCAGCATTTCATCGCACCTGTGCACATGACGATAAACTGAACTGAAGCAGTACTGGATTACATGAATAACCAGGAGTTTAGGTGAGTACAGTGCTGTATTATTATGACTAATCAGGAGTTCAGATAAATACAGTACTGTAATCTGTGAATAATCAGGAGTTCGGGTACTTACAGTACTGTATTATGTACAGTAATGGCCATCTCTCAGTTGAGTGTATGTTCGTGTAGGTGTGTAACTGTTCCTGTGACTATGAATTTGTGTATCTATGCATGCGTGTATTTTTATATATATATTTGTGTAGGTGTGCTTGGCTTGACTTCACCATTCCAAAATCTGATTCTTTTCTTTTTCAGCTGTCCAGTCGTAGTTGCTCTGAGACTTTAGCGGTTTGACAGCCGGTCTCTAGTTTTCCTCCGGAATGCGCTGGTACGGAGAGGAATCCGTGGCGGATCCAGGATCAAGGACACCAGCTCCTGCGGCTGCTAAGCCCCTCCACCAGCAGGCTGGGCGGCTGGTAGGAGCTTCTTGTGGTGGTCCTGTTTGATCATGTTGATAATCATGTCTGTCTATCGCCCCAGCGGTCAGACAGCTCCACGCTGGCCTCGTCCGCCCAGAGGACGTTGTTCCAGGAGTCTTGCGGTTCATTCAGGTGCCGTTTTGCAAACCTGAGCCGTGCAGCAGGGTCTCCTCCTGGCTTCCCTCCCACGAAAGCCATTCTTGCTCAGGGCGTTCCCAATGGAATAAGAACTCGAATGCTTACCGTATTGACACAGTCCTTTAGATCCAAGAATGCAGCCTTGGGGATCTTTGTGATCTTTGGGAGCTTCACACAGTCTGATCTTGGGGTGATTTTGCTGGGACGTCCACTCCTGCAGACCGTGGCAACTTTCTCCATTTGTAAATGATCCTTCTCACCGTGGAATGATGGACTTCATCTTGTTTGGAATTGGCTTTATAACCCTTCCAGGACTGATAAGTATCAGGAATTCTTTCTCTGAGACCATCAGAGATATCCTTTGACCTAAAGATGACGTGTCACCACAATCCTGAATGCTACAGACCAAACTGCCAGTTTCTGATTTGATATAGAAGTAGGAAGCACTTCCTGATGATCATGTGCGTTTGTTTAGCAGCACCTGATTCTGATTACCTTCTATACTGACATGGAAGCAGTAAGGTGCTCTTATTTTTTCACACACGGCTTCTGAATGTTTTTGTCCGATAAATAATGACAAAGTAAAATTTGTGTGTGTTATATGTAATAAGAAGTTAAGAGGAGGTGAATATCAGATATGTATTAATGTGTAAAACCATAGAGTAGCAAGAGGGTGTACTTTGTGTTTGCCGTCACTGTTTGTTTGTGTCCTGTAGCTAACTGGTGACCTGTCCAGTGTGTTGCCCTGCCCAGTGTCCTGCGATCTGGGACAGGCTCCAGACTGACCCTCACCAGGAGTGTCCAATCAGAACCCTCACCAGGAGCGAGCAGTGTCCGATCAGGACCCTCCCCAGGAGTGATCAGTCAGTGTCTGATTAGGGGTGTGTTCATGAAAGCAAAGAACATCACTCTGAAAAGGTCCTCTTAAAATTTTATGTTAAATATTCTTTTTTACAACATCTCAACAGGAAAATTAATGATGGTCCCAGTGTCTGAGAGTCTGCACGGCTGAGCGTCTGTCTGTGGGGGTTCTGAGAGTCCGTCCGGGAGAGCAGGGGCAGGACAGGCCCGAGACTCGGGTTCCAGTCCAGCTGCCCATCCGTCTGGCAGTCAGGCCGAAGGTCAGGGCTTCGTCTTCGCTCTTCGCTCTGCTCTCTCCGACAGTCACGCCATCGCCTCAGAGTGCTGTCGAGAGAGTCGGGAAGGACACAGCCTAGGGAAGTCAGCGGGGTCTCTTTAACTTCCTGTTCCACTTCCTGTCACTCTCCGCGAGTCACAGAGCGTCACAGTGGATTGGTGGCTGGTTTGGGCTCTCCGGCGCCCTCTCCTGGTCAGGGCATGAACACAGAACAAGTGCAACACTTGGCTGCCCCATCCCCACCCCTTTGCACACTGCAGTGGGGCATCCGCAGGCTCCCTTAAACACCCCCTTCCTCCCTCCCTCCTTCTCACTCTGCTCCTCCAGGGAAACTCCAGTCCAAGGCCCTGGGCATCCTGACCCCAAGGACAAGTGGTCAGATCTCCAGCGGGGACACTACTGCTGGACCCCTGAGCAAAGTACTTCACCCTCAAAAACATACTGGCTCTGTACATGTGGCCCAGAACCTGACTTGAAAAAACAGATCATTAGAATGACTAGGAGCTGGTTTGGCAGTTACAAGGCAGGTAGATTGGTGATCAAACTTGAATGGTCTGAGCCATGGGGCAGCAGTCCATCTCTCCCAGTCAGCAAGGAGCTGCAGGACCCCATCGCTTTGTCCTTTTTACAGTATGTCTTCACTCTAATGAACCGAGCTAACGATCACAGTGAGCTGGACTAATTAACCCAGTAATTAACCCAGTGGAGTAATTTGAGAGCTGTAGCTCTCCAGAACCAGAGCTGCTAAAATCTAAACCTGCCGGAGGGGCAGGAAGAAAATTTGCGGCTGGTCCAATTAAGCAATTAATTGATTCAATTAACCAATTAAGGCTGTAGCTTGAAAGAAGAGCAGTAGACCTTCCAGCTTCTTCAAGACCAGGGTTACAGTGACCCAGGGGAAACTCAGAGGTCACACAGAGCCCTGGTGTCAGTCTCTGCACTTCTGTGTCTTCTCACAGAGTGCTGATGGACCAGAACACAGGCTGTCAGGCTGGTGTTCAGGGCTTCTGTGGCAAAACCCCCTTCTTATCCCCATCCCAAGCACCACCCCCTATTGGGACAATTGAACAGCCAAGTCGTACAGCTCACAAAACATTCACAGACAGACACACCCCCCACACACATGTCAATCAGAATGTAAAGTAGCCCATATGCAACAGGAACTGTAAACGACAGCAGTTACCATAACAACAGGAGCGGCACCCATGGCAACAACAAGAGAGACAACAGCGTAGAGACGCATGGTGGACACGCCCCCCGGCTGGGGCTCGGACACACACACCAGACACTGTTCACTCCAGCACTGGGCAGCTCTGAATACATGAGTCAGCTGATGGGCTGTGCACTCATAACACAACAAAGAAATGCTCCTTTAGTGTAACACAAAACAGCTAGCAATGCTGGTATTAATGTTAACACCACTAGTTGTACTACTGCTACTCCTAACAACTCTACTATGAAGTTATAGCCAAATATCAACAAGGTTACACAGCAATGTAGCTTTCTTTTGCCATATTAGTGGAGCAGCAGACACCTCAGAGAGACGTTTCCATATCAGAACATGAAAGGTGCTATATAAAATAAAGGCAATTATTTGTATTGTTCAGTTGGTGGTGCCTTCTCCTTCATCACAGTATGGGTTTGTCTGCCACTGGTGTAGTACCACATCCTCTCCACAAGGGGTCTGACTGTCACTGGTGTAGTACCACACCTCTCCACCAGGGGTCTGACGGTCACTGGTGTAGTACCACACCTCTCCACCAGGGGTCTG